CTTTGGGAACTGCCCTCTGTGCTGTGCACATCCCACCCATGGCAGCCCTGGAGGAGCTTCCCACTGCACAGCCACTGGGACATGGAAAAAACAGCTGATCACCTGCTTCCTGCAGGAGGATGCCACCCCAGAGGCAGGCACAAGGCTTGTAGCTAGAGCTCAGCCTAGTCTGAGGTCTGTGAGGGACTGCTCAGGTCTGCTGCAGGTGAAGTGACTGCTTCTACGCTACGAGGCAAAATAAAGGTGCAAGGTTTCTATAGGAAACCTCCACCACCACTAGAAAACTTCTATGGATGGACAGAGGTTGAGCACCTGCAAGGTGGAAGGGAACAGAGAAGTTCTGCAGAGCCGTAAATATCCATGGATGGTAGCACACCAGTGAGGGAAACCTGGAGGCAAACAAAAGGAACAGAGAGGAAATAACAGAAAGAAGAAAAAGGCGAAAAAAGACCACAACAAAGCAGAATGAGACAGAGGAAGCATGGAAAGGAGGAAAATGAGAACTTTAGGAAGAGAGGCCCCTCTAGTAATAAAATAAATCTGTCAGAGGGTTTCTGATTTGGCAGCTCGGAGTTATCAAAGCAGGACCAGGCACTACAGGTATGTACAATATGAACAGTTACATTGGAAGAGCATCTGAGCTTCTGTTCTGATAACAAAGGCAAAAAACAAATGCAGAGGATTGCCAGAAACCACCCTGCCACTCCAAAGGCAAAACAAATCCCAGTTTTGAAAGGCTGCTAATGAGCTCTTTTGGCTTCCTTAGGGGGTTGATTCTGCCTGAACTGAAGTCAGAGGTGAAGGAGGTGTGTGACTGCTGACTGCATTGAAGCTGACTCAAGTTCAAGGATAAACTTTAGATGAGACCTCCTCACAAATGGTATTTAGAGAATATAGGAAAGGGGGGGTGGGGTGGGGAAAGAAAGAGTCTTTTTCCAGATGTATACCTCAGTTTTGGTGTCTGTTTGGTCTGTGGCAACTATTTCTATTTCCATCAATTTTAAGTCAGCTTCTAAGTCCGTAGCTGTGCCTTTCTCAAGAAGACTGATTAAATGCAAAAGCAGACTTTGCATAGAGAAACAGACAGTTTAGTAACATTAGGCTGTGATCATTGCAGGAGTGAACAAACCCATGTTTTCCTGTGATACTCTTTTGTACATTGGCTTAGAGCAAGGGACAGGCAGTTTTCAAAGACAAAATACTAGCAAGTTATTGGTAACATCACAGTGAATCATACTTAGTCACCCTGCAGGTATGCACTCATCTAATCTTGTTTACCAGCTTCCTAGTGAAATGCCTTGTGTTGCTGAACATCCTTGGCCTTTAGCATCACTGTACACTCCAGATGCAGAGAGTGCATTCTGACACGTGTTCTTACTAGTTACCAAAGACAAAACAAAACTGTGGCAATGCCCTACTCCCCTCTGGGACTTCCCCATCTCTCATATCTAAGAAAAGGTAAGATGAACAGCCACTGCAGACAACTACACCTCTCACCCTCTCTTCTGCAATCTCAAAGCACTCAGCAGCTCCAACAAATAAGGAAGGGGAGAGCATTGTGGAAGTCAGTCTGAGAGGATGAGGGGTCAAGAAAGGAATGGAGAGAATGGTTTCCTCATGCTGAGCAAGAAAAGGAGCACACTCCTGCACAGCATGAACTGTCTGCTGAAGCCAGCAATAAAGGTAACAACCAACTCTTTCTAAAATTGCTGACGTTTTTAAAATAACCACAACCTTCGTTTAAAAAGTTAATAACATCAAATAGCTCAAGCTTCCACTCAGTCATATCCCTTAAATGTAACACACTGCAGCTTGACTGAGCTGTAGGATAATGCTAGTCCTTTTAATGCTCCTTAGGCAAATCTGTAGGGACTTTGGAGTCCTTCAATGCAATGCAAATTTGGTTGCAACACTTTATCACTTCCTCCAGATAAAAGGCACAGCTGATGTTCACCTTATTTCAGGAAGCCCAAGATAAACACACACACACACACACACACACACAAACATTTACATATGCAAATACATTTGTGCATATATATTTATATATATATATACACATAAATACACAGAAATGTATATGACTAGGTGCTAACTCACACAAGAATGGGCTTTTGTCAGGTGTTTTTGTTAGGTTAAGTACATTGAGCTTCACTGTACACAGCAGGACATCTTTCAAACACGGCATTAAGAAACCATGCTTACCCCATGAATTTTGTAAAGACTGGACATGCCCCATGCAATCTCTTTTTACATGCAAAGCTTTGCATCACTGTCACTTAGTTAAATGCGATTTTTATTTTCAACTTTGTCAAGTTATTAGAGGCTGTAGCCAGCCAATTTAAAATGTTGGTATGATGAAGTGTTCTTTAGGCAGAGAAGCATACTCTGCAAAGTAATTTTCTTTAGAGTAGGAGCAGCATAATTTTAAACAGAGAATTGCTGAAATTGTGACGCATGCTGTAATTGCTTAGAAACTACTCCTGATTTTTATTCTGCCTCTGTTGCAAAGTTAACCCCCACCCCTTCAACAAGCTAAACAGATCATAATCTACTTATATTAGATTTCGATTCTTCAAATCCTGAAGTGATGCTTTGCTCATTCCCCATTCTACTGAAGTCAGTGTTCCTGAGATAAAGGTAAGTCAAGGTTGCTGGCTCTAGGCTTTAGGCAGAGATTGAGCAACACAGGCTGAGGATGGTTAATCATTCCCAGCTATTCAGGCATGAATGCCTTCTACCTGGGATCTGTCAAGTAAAGCCAGTGCAAGGGACTATAATCCCATCTGGCTCAAACTGCACAAATAATGCTTCAGAGAGAAGTGAAAAGAGTTGAATACTTTGCAAAAGCTCTGTCAGGCCTTGAGACAGGAGAGGAACCATGCTTGCTTGAGAGAGGCACTGAGGAATGGGAAGGGCTTTTAGGATAAGCCACAGCTCCTGTGAGTAACCAGCACTGGGAGGGGCGGCAGGCCAAGGATAGAGTCCATTTGCAGCCAGACACAGCACACACCCCAGTCCAGCTGCCAAGCCACTCTTCAGAGCCCCATAAAGCCACAAGAAGGACTACTGGCACCCTGGGACGCCAATTTTTAATCACAGTGACTCTGGTAGGTGCTGTGTCCTGCAGGCCACAGGCAGGCTCGCTCCAAACCTACCCAGCATCCTCAGAAGCCATGGCCCAGGCGCCACATACACTTGAAGGCGACGTTACTGAGCATTTGCTGCCACTCAGCACTAGTAAAAATCACACCCGCAGTTCTTTGGGTAGGACACACGCGGTGCCTAACAAACTTTTGCGGTACTTTATATCCCTGGTCAGCAAGAGAAACTCATGAGCACCGTTCGTGCCGATACACACCAGGACTGAGAGGAGGGGTCTGGCTTCGCAGGCACAGCCCCATTCCCAGCCTGCACCCAAGCGGGAGGAGACAGCCCCCCTCCGGCACCCAGCCCTGCGAACATCTCCCACTCGCAGCCCGCAGCGGGCAGGGGCTGCGGGGCTGCGGCCGCCCTGCGCCCGTCCCCGCCGACTGCAGAGGGCACTCGGGGCCCGCGAGTGGCTGCCGAGCGCCCGGGGCCGGCGGGGCCGAGCTGCCACCTCCGCCAGCGGGGACGGGAAAGCCCCGAGCCGGCGGACACAGGCCGGGGAGAGGGCTGCCGCTCCCGCCACACCAGGAAGCTTGGACGGGGGAAGGTACGAGCGTTTTAAGGTGAGGCATATAAAAAAACCCAAACCAAGCCTACCACCGGAGGTTAGGGATCTGGCAGGACCATGGAAAAAGACGCGTGTCACTATAAACACCTGTCAGACAGCATCCCTGGGGATGCAGGGAGAGATCGCCACTGGCTCGCTGTCACACAGAGACGGCCCGGGAATGAAGTCCGGTGGGTTTACACCTCTACGAGCGGTGGAGACTCAGTTCAGAGAACAGCAAAACGCAGATCCTCTGCGAGGGGTCTCACTAGCAAGATGGGAGGCTAAATGAAAGCTAGGGAAAAGTCTTCCATCCTCTCACAGAGAAAATCATGCACAGAATATCAGCTTTTCCCCGTTCCTGGTCAATCAATTTATGTTGTAGCTCAAACAAGTGGGGAGACTGGAAGTGCTAGGCATACACCCATTTTCAGATGACTGGATGCTCCTCACCACTCTGCACACTTGAAATACGTCAGAGTAGAACACGTTACTCTATCTACAAAATACCCCAACAATTAAACTAAACCCGACCCGCAAGACATCTAGGGTACATCCTGCTTCTGCACAGCAAGGCCTGAGCTTGGACAACATCCCTCGAGTTTCGTTAATCCACTTCAGAAACTGGAAGAGAACAGACGTCTTTACTAACCGCTGCTGCAATTCCCGTTTTCACAGAAGTTATGCGAGGAATTATGCCAGCTCCCAGAGTTGCTCCGTCCCTTGGCAAGCGCCGCAGTCCTTTTTTTTTTTGCCCTCTCCTTGTGGCAAATAACATACCACAGTGCGGAGATTTTTCAGCTACACCCTTTTTCTTGCCAACCACCCCCCAGCCCTTCCC